ATTAAGTATTTAAATCACAAATTTAATGCTTAAAATTGCTAGAAGCTACCTCCAACTTCTCCAAATGACTAGAAATCATAGTAGCTCAAGAACATCAAGAGAGGCTTTCCCAACATTCAAGAGTTTCGATGCCCATGTGTGAGTTTCCAAAACACATGTGCTAATATCGCTACTTTGTGCCTCCAACGATTTATATTTTCAAACATGTTTTAGGAGTTTCAATATTACAGGAAGAGTTTCGAAACAATGGTTGCAAGTTAGTATTTAATGCACAAATTTAATGCCTGAAAAAGGCTGGAATGTAACTTCCCAAAATCCAGGTCAGAAGAATCAGGTCTAATTTCTCAATTTCTGTAAAATGAAATTTTTTGAAGTATTATGAGATAATTTTTTCAAATAATAATAAATATTTTAAAATTAAAAATATGATTTTTAAAGTTTTAATTGATTTTGAAGAAAGGACTAACTTGAATTTTTAAATTAAAATTCAAGTTTAGTGACTAAATTGTAAGAGGATCAAAATTGTTAAATCTATTTAGGTATTTTACCAAGATCAATTTGCCCTTCATTTTAAATCATTTTCCGTGAACTCTTCTTGCAAATTCCTTTGATTTTTATCGATTTTAATAACTACCTTATAAACTGTTTTAATTACCTTTGTGACATTCCAATCTTCGGGTCAGTGACCAAAATGTGGAAAGTGGGGGTCAAAAAGAAAAGAAGTCTAGATTTGGTTCTTATCTTCTTAATAGTGTCGTGAACTACACTTCTTAAGGTAAGTTTTTGGTAAATTGTTGGTTCTTTCAATTTCTGGTTTAGTATTGAAAGTTTAAGGGCTATAAAAGCTTAAGGAAAGCTTGTAAGAGATTAAAACAACGTGAGGAGTGAATTAGAGGTGAAAGTGTTAAATGAGTTTTAAAGTGAAATTTTGATATGGGGTTTTTGGAGTTTTTTTAAAAATTTGACTTGTCAATGATCTAACTAAACAATTAGGAGTGTTAGAAATGATTAAGAACATGTTTGAAATTTTGGTATGATTTTGAGATTCAAGTGTTTAAACAAGATTTTGGATAATTAAGAGTAGTAAATGAAGACAAGTTGGTTTAGAAGTATAAGGTTAAGTTAAAAAGGCTCAATGAGGGATAAAGTAAAAGATTTAGGAAGATTTTGGTTGATTTTCAAATTGGAAATGACAATTCTGGGCGTGGAGTATCGGTACTGAAAGAACAGTACTGATACTTCAATGAAAAATCAGCGAAATATGAAGAGTGGTATCGGTATTGGTTGAGTAAAGGTATCGATACTGACTTGGGAGTATCGATACCAATGGTATGGTATCGATACCATTTCTGAGATAAAATTCCAAAACGTCATAATGGTATCGGTATCTTAGGGTGTATCGATATCAATGAAAGGAAGTATCGGTACTGTAGTGGTAGTACCGATACTATTAAGCATGAAATGATAAATTAAATGTTTCTTTCAGCTTAAGTTAATATGATTGGATATAAGTGACTCAAAGTAATATATTGATTTTCGATTGTTTTATGTAGTTGTTGAACTTAATCAACTTCCGGTCAACTCGACGTTATAATTATCAATCTAAAAGTGTTAAGGTTTCGCTAAGGTTTCAGTGAGGCAAAGGTGAGTGCAATTTCTCGATTTCATATTAGAATTGAGGAAGACTTGCGATAAGCCAACCTCAATGTTTTTGATCTAAAACTTTTAAATTCCTTTATGTTATATCTTTATAATGTTTTATTTAAGTTCTATTATTTAAATTGTGATGAATGATTATGAGTATATGATTATGAATATGTGATATGTGAACATGAGTATACAAAGATTCTCAAAGTGAAAGTGCTTATGTGAATAATAAATACTTCGAATAATGAAAGATAAATAATTATATGGTTAAAAGCCCAAAGTATATGTATGAGGATTAGAGGTATAGTTGGCATGCCAAGAGTCAAGGGTTCAATGTGGTCCTTCGGGATAATTATGTGGCACTTCAGTGCAAACCTATGTGGTCCTTTGAGATAATTATGTGGCACTTCGGTGCAAATTATGAGTTGTGGTGACAACATCAGTTCACAACCTCAATGTAGTCAAATACCTAGAGTTCTCAATAGTATATGTTGGGCATTTGGAAACAAATTGATAAAACGAATAATGTATAACAACATACATTTTTGTTATGGTAAAACGATTGAAATCCTTAAGAAATATTTTATGAAATACATAAATATTTTGTTATAAAGTTTGGTTTGATCTCATATTTGCCTCACTAAGTCATCGACTTAACATGTGATTGTTTCACACATAGGTTTGACGAAATCAGAATAGTAAATCTAGGCGCGGATAACATACACCCTTGAAGATCATATCGTAACAAATTAAATGTAGATGTTTTGTAATTTTGTAAACCGTTGGCTTGTATTACGCGTTTAATTTGAAAATGCTCTGATTTATATTTTATAAACTTATACTTTTGTACTTGTGTAAATTATTAAAATTTAATGAAAAGTGTTACATTTAATGGTATCAGAGCTATGAATTAATTGGTTTTAAGTCTGAAATAAAGTGGTTTTTACTTTAAAAAATGTACATGCCAACTTTTAATTAAGTATTTTTGATTTTATAAGGTGATTAGTGTGTTATCCTTGCTAATGCATTAGTAAATTGATTTTATTAGATGTCGGTTTTGATGGTTCCCGAGGTGAAGCGAGAGATAGAATGAAAGAAAGTAGTAATTCACCTGTCTCGAGTAGACAGTGTGCGGAACAAGCACATCAGGGAGTGTCTGTACAAGATCTTGGAACTTTCTTCCAGACGTTGGATGCAATTCTAACGCATTTCCAGCCGTCTAATCCCTCAGCTCCTAAGATGAATGTTTCTAAAGAGCTTAGAAGTCTAGGAACGTATGGATTTAGAGGCAAAGTTGAGGAAGGTCCAGTTACTGCTGATATGTGGCTCAATGACATAAACATAATGTTGAAGAATATCCATTGTTCTGAAATGGAGAAACTGGATGGTGTAGTTTCGTTACTGCGAGGTCAAGAAAGAATATGGTGGTCTAATGTGACGATGCGAGCTTCGAGGGACCAGGTGACTTCACCATTCTTTTTGGAAGAGTTTAAGAATAAATACATTGGGGATCAGTTCATTCAGTAGATGAAGCAAGAATTCATGAGTTTAAAGAAAGGGAATTGCACAGTATATGAGTTTGAGTGCGAATTCAACAAGCTTAGTCGATTTGTGGTAGAGTTGGTTCCTACAGAGAAGGACTCATGTGAATTATTTATGGTGGGTTTACGACCTCGATTGAAAGAATTGATGTTAGCACTCAATCTTTCATCATTCCAAGAGGTAACGGACTAATCTAAAGCTCTAGAGAGATCTCAAATTGAAAGGTTTTCGGAGTAAATAATGCAATGGAATAAGAGAATGGGTACGTCATCCAGTTCCTCTCAATCAAAGAAAAGTCGAGGTTTGAGTTATCGACCTCAGACTAGAGCAGAATATGTAGCATCCTTAGTTAGAAGATTAAATCCTAGAAGAACTAGTCAAACTCGCTCAGTGGAATCCAGACTAGATAAGCCAAATCAGCATCAGCATTATGGAAAACATCATAGTGGTGTATGTCGAAAAGTCTCCAGAGCTTGTTTTAAATGTGGAGAGGCATGACACTTTATTAGATATTGACCATTGATGACGGGAGAGTCTGCCCAAACAAAAAGATCCACTGTTGCACCGATGAGAGGTAGAGGTCAAGGTAGAGGAAGGAATCAGTCTTAGTCGACCGCTCAACCTGAAGTACGCTCTATCGCTCAACCTGAAGTACGCTCTATCGCTCAACCTGAAGTACACTCTATCGCTCGAGTGTATAATCTAAATACCAGTGATGATCCTAAAATCATTGCAAGTACTTTTTAGGTAGCTTGTCAATCTGTTTTAGGTGTGATTGATCCGTGATCAAATTTTTCATATGTTAGTAGTAAATTGGTAAAAGATTTGAGAATTCCGTTAGAACCTATTCGTACTGAGGTGATTGTGACTAATCCATTAGGACATAGTGCTCGGGTGAGACATATATGTTGACGGTGTCCCATATGGATTCATAGAATTGAATTATCAACTAATCTAATGAAATTACCCCTTGACGAGTTTGAGGTTATCCTTGGTCTGGATTGGCTTTATCATTATCATGCCACTGTGGATTGTCGACTTAAGTAATTTCTGTTAACAAGTATCAATGGATTGGAAGTTAGTGTGGTCTGCGAAAGAATCAATCACTTTGCTAATGTGATATCATTGATGTCAGCTCAGAAATTTTTGCAACAAGGATGTCAAGCGTATATTGCTAATTTAATTGATGTTGTAGCCAAAGAAAGGAAGTTTGAAGATATTACGACAGTTAGAGAATTTCCAGAAGTATTTTCGAAAGAATTGTCAGGATTACCTCTAGATAGGGAGGTTGAATTTCAGATTGAAGTGATGCCAGGGGAAGCACCAATTTCAATGGCTCCTTATAGGATGTCCCCAAAAAAATTGAAAGAGTTAAAGATTCAGTTGCAGGAGCTTTTAGATAAGGGATTTATCAGACCCAGTGTGCCACCTTGGGGTGCTCCAGTGTTATTCTTAAAGAAGAAAGATGGTTCGATGTGCCTTTGTATTGCATATAGGTAACTCAACAAAGTGAGCATAAAGAACAAGTATCCTCTTCCAAGGATCGACGATTTATTTGATCAACTAAGGGAGTTGCAGTGTTTTCTAAAGTCTATTTACGCTCAAGGTATCATCAGTTGAAGATACAAGAAAAAGATGTTCCCAAAATGGTGTTTAGAACACGATATGGTTATTACGAGTTTGTACTAATACCATTCGGGTTAACTAACGCACCTGCAGCGTTTATGGACCTGATGAACAAAGTTTTCACACAGTACCTTGATCAGTTCATAGTCATTTTTATTGACGACATTTTAGTGTATTCAAAGTCAATGGAGGATCATGATGATCATCTTCTTGTGGTTCTTCAAACGTTGCAAAATAAGAAGCTTTATGCAAAGTTCTCTAAGTGCGAGTTGTGGTTAACTGAAGTGTCATTTCTTGGACACGTGGTTTCTGCAGAGGGAATTCTAGTAGATCCTCATAAAGTAAAATTTGTTTGAGTGGGAAGTCCCGAAGATTGTATCAGAGGTTCGGAGTTTCTTGGGTCTCGCATGTTATTATCAAAGGTTCATCAAAAACTTTTCGATGATATCTCTGCCTTTAACTAAATTGTTAAGAAAAGATGTTTCTTTTGAGTGAACTTCTGATTGTCAGCAGAGTTTTGAATCATTGAAGAAAGTTTTGACAAAAGCTCCGGTGTTGGTGCAACCAGAATCGAATAAGGATTTCACGATTTTTAGCGATGTTTCCCATAATGGTTTGGGATGTGTTTTAATGCAAGGTGGAAAGCTAGTTTATTATTCTTCAAGACAACTTAAGCCTTATGAGAAGAACAATCTCATGCGTGATTTAGAGTTGGCAACGATGGTCTTTGTGCTGAAAATTTGGTGACATTATTTGTATGGTGAGTGTTGCTACATTTTAACCGATCACAAAAGTTTGAAGTATTTGTTAACTCAAAAGGAGCTAAATTTGAGGCAAAAAAGATCAATTAAGTTACTCAAGGACTATGATGCAGTTATAGATTACTACTCTGGAAGAGCAAATGTAGTAGTTGATGCTCTTAGTCGAAAGACTTTTGCCGCTTTGCGGAGATTGGATGCCTGAATAATATGAAAGGATAATGGAGCATTGATGGCTGAGTTAATGTTGAAACCAGTATTGTTAGAACGAATTAAGGAGTTACAAAAGAAGGATGATAAGTGTCTAGTCTGGTTTGAACAATTAGATAAGGGTGAACTCAAGGACTTTGATGTAAAGTCGAATAGTTGTTTACACTTTAAAAATCGAGTTTGTGTCCCCAGTAATGATGAGCTAAAAAGAGATATATTGTATGAAACATAATGTCATCCCTTAACTATGCACCCAGGAAGAAACAAGATGTATCAAGATTTGAAAGGATGTTTTAGTGGCTAGGCATGAAAAGAGACATTACAGAGTTTGTATCAAAGTGTCTTAACTGACAACAAGTAAAAGCTGAACACCAAGTGCCTTCAGGACTGTTGCAACCTATTTTCATTCCTTAGTGGAAATGAGAAATAAATACGATGGATTTCGTAATAGGTTTGCCTTTATCGCCGAGAAAAAATGATTTTATATGGGTAATTGTGCATCGCCTCACAAAGATTGTGCATTTCATTCCTATACGAACAAATTTTTCAATGGAAAAATATGTTGAATTATATATTAAGGAAATAGTACGACTACATGGGGTTCTAATATCAATAGTTTCTGATAGAGATTCCAAGTTTACTTCAAGATTTTGGAAGTCATTGCAAGGAGCTTTGGGTACCCGATTAAATTTTAGCACTATTTTTTATCCTTAGATCGATGGTCAATCAGAACGAACTATTCAAATTCTAGAATATATGTTGAGAGCGTGTGTGATCAATTTTGGGTAATTAAGAGTAGTAAATGAAGACAAGTTGGTTTGGAAGTATAAGGTTGAGTTTAAAAGGCTTAATGAGAGATAAAGTAAAAGATTTAAGAAGATTTTGGTAGCTTTTCAAATTGGAAATGGTAATTATGGGCGTAGAGTATCGGTACTGAATGAATAATATCAATACTCAAGGCAAAATCAACTGAATATGAAGAGTGGTATCGGTTGAGTAAGGTATCGATGCTGACTTGGGAGTATCGATACCAATGGTATGGTATCGATACCAATGGCATGGTATCGATACCAATGGTATGGTATCGATACCATTTCTGAGATAAAATTCCAGAATATCATAATGGCATCGGTATCTTGGGGGTATCGATACAAATGAAAGGAAGTATCGATACTGTAGTGGTAGTACCAATACTACTAAGCATGAATTGAGAAATTTAGTGTTTCTTTTAGCTTAAGTTATTATGATTGGATATAAGTGACTCGAAGTAAGATATTGATTTTCGATTGTTTTGTGTAGTTGTTGAACAAAATCAACTTATGGTTAACTCGACGTTATAAGTATCAATCCAAAAGCGTTAAGGTTTTGCTTAGTTTTACTTGAGGTAAAGGTAACTGCAATTTCTCTATTTCATTTTAGAATTGAAGAAGGCTTGCGATAAGCCAACCTCAGTTTTTTCGATCCAAAACTTTTAAATTCCTTTATGTTATATCTTTATAATGTTTTATTTAAGTTCTATTATTTTAATTCTGATGAATGGTTATGAGTATATGATTATGAATATATGATATGTGAACATGAGTATACGAAAATTCTCAAAGTTAAAGTGCTTATGTGAATAAGAAATACTTTGAATAATGAAAGATAAATAATTATATTGTTAAAAGCCCAAAGTATATGTATGAGGATTAGAGTTATAGTTGACATGCCAAGAGTTGAGGGTTTTATGTGGTTTTTCGGGACAATTATGTGGTACTTTGGTGCAAACCTATGTGGAACTTCGGTGCAAACCTATGTGGTCCTTCAGGATAATTATGTGACACTTTGGTGCAAATTATGAGTTGTGGTGACAACATTAGTGCACAATCTCGATGTACTCAAATACCTAGAGTTCTCAGTAGTATACGTTGGGCATTTGGAAACAAAGTGATAAAACAAATAATGTATAACAACGTACATTTTTGTTATGGTAAAACAATTGAAATCCTGAAGAAATGTTTTATGAAATACATAAAGATTTTGTTATAAAGTTTGGTTTGATCTCATATTTGCCTCACTATCTCATCGACTTAGTGTATGATTGTTTCACACGTAGGTTTGAAGAAATCAGAAGAGTGAAGCTAGGCGAGGATAGTGTACACCCTTGAATATCATATCAGAACAAATTAAATGTAGGTGTTCTGTAATTTTGTAAATTGTTGACATGTATTACGTGTTTAATTTGAAAATGCTATGATCCATATTTTGTAAAATTCTACTTTTGTATTTGTGTAAATTAGTAAAACTTTCATGAAAATACATGAATATGAATTTTATTAGTTTATTTTAAATTAAGGGTTTTTCCTTTTTATTTATGAGTAAACATTTGGATTGCTATTATTTGTTAATTATATATGATTTGAAAAGTCAATATGACACCTCATATTCGTATCCGAATCGGGTACCGGTTAGGGGTGTTACAACCTTACTTCTTCATATCCGTTTTTGCATACAAACACATTTTGAGCATCATAATTGATGCTCTTAAGTGGCGTTGTTGATTTGGCGATATAGGTAAGAATTTTGGTCTTTGTTGTGATTCTCGTGTTTAGTTTTTAGTAGATGTCATTGATGTGTAAGATATTATTTTTTATTGACTAAACCTATGTTTAAAATATGTTCAATCAAAATTATGAATTTTAAAAGTAGAAACAAAATCTAACATCAATTGATCAAGTTGTGATTTCTATACTAAACTGTAAAAAATAAAAATTAAGGGCAGAGTTTTGAAACTATTTGGTCCAGAATTCAAAACTTTTGGTCCATTATTTTTAGAGGTATTGCAAAAATTTTTCATCCCAAAAATGTTCGAATCTCATCCAAAAATTTGTAGTAAGTCAGTCGATGTTCTCACCTTTAAAAAAATTAATTTATTGACTAAATTAAATTGTTTCATCCCTCCTATGCTGGTATCATTTAGTCCTATAACTTATATCAACTAAGTATCAGTACTACCATTTAGCACCCACCATCATACCATATATATCATAAATTCAATAAACTAAGCAATTCTAAAATGATGTCACATAACTCAATTCATTCAAACACCATAAATCAAACCAACTACACTTTTAACATAACAACGCATAAAAAATCATAACATTACTCTTATATATCAATTCTACACAATTTTTTAACATACTCAAGTATATCAAAACATTGAATTCATATAAAACTTGAAACATCTTGGTTTTTGGCTTGGTAGTTATCAATACTTAAAGATAGTTATCAAATAGTATATTGATTTCTGGAGGGGGGAATGTGTTTTCAATATTAATTCAGAAAAATATTTTAGAAAGGAAAATTCAAGGGGATTAAAATATTGTAAATTTCAAATTTAAAGTTAAAGAATAATTTGAAACGAGGACCAAAATTGTCGCTCCAAAAGCATTATTCTTTTTTGTGATTATTTAGTTAAATTCTTTTTTTAAAATTTTGTTTTAATTGCAAAAATATATCTATTTTATATACCATATTTTAATAATTAAGAATAATATATTGGATTTAATTTAGTTAAATGAAATCATAACTAACGTTGAATTTTAACTACTTTGTTTTTATTTAAGTGTAAAATATGTGGGCTACAGGTATAAAGGATTTCATACCGATTTTTGTATCATATTGCGGTTTTGTTCTTGAAATTCTGAAAACTAGGCCTCGATAGAATTAAGAAACTTTATATGTTTAATATGGTGATTTAGTGTTGAGATTATAAATTCTTGATGATATTAATAACGCTTTTAGGTTTTGTTGTTTCGTGCATGATTTAAGTTGAACTTCAAGCCAATTTTGTTGTTATTTATGCATTCTGATGTGTTCTTGAAGCTCAAGATTCGTTGGTGGCTTCCTCTAGCAATGGGAAAAGAAAGGCGGTCGTGCATTGAAGCGGTTGTTGTTAGTTGCTCATTGTTTCCATAAGTGTACAATTATGTTGCGGGTTGGCACAAACCTTATTTTATTTAGAAACATAGGAATAGGTTAATCCTCTATTCTAGGTTCTCGTGTAATTATTGTCGATGTTCTTTGTGTTAATTAATTTTTTTTTTACTTTTAGAGATGTAGGATCGGTCATTTTTTAACAATTAGCATCGCGAACTTTTCTCGATAAATTTCCTACATTTGCTTAGAATTGTGTCCACTATTTTTGTTGCACCTATATGTGGTATGATATGGTATATGATATGGTACATGGAATGTTTACATACATGTGCAACACTAGTTGTTATAGTGGCACGAAAAGTGTCTATATGAGTTGTCGATAAAATTTGTTGGTTGTAGTAATGAATCAAATGAGTTTTTAGCAATGATTCTGTAAAAGGTCACTCCAGTGACTAATGTAATAGTTGGTAACAAGGTCAGACTGCCCAGATCGAATATTGGGTGTTATAAACTTAATTTGTAATGGAACCCTCGTGACATATAAATTTGATAATTCAACCCCCAATTTTAAGGTATCATGGAGACTTAATGAAATGATTCTAAAACTAAGGTGACAATTATATTGAGTGTAGAAAGTTACATAGTTTAAAAATGACAATAACTAAAAAGGAAAAAATTTAGAAGTTAAATTAACATAACATAGTTTAAACAATAATTTAGTAAAACTAAGGAGGCCTGGTTTTCATTATAAAATAATGGAATAGAAATATTACTTTGGATTGGGATGGGTACGCCAGGCCCGAGCAATAGTGCAACGCTAGGGCGACGCTCGAGAGTCCTTGTAGCAAGCTACTATGGTGGACCCTCCGCCTCAAAAAATAAATTTAATATCGTGTGAACTATTGTCCCACGTATCAGATATTAAACTGATAAGAACAGATACTACTATTGATCTTAGCCAAAAGGCCGAGAAAGGTATGCTTTCAAATGTTCAAGGCCGTTGGTTACATGATCAACAACTTCAACCACATGTTATTTCATTTGTAAGCTGCTTCTGGAAATAAACAACTTTTGTTT